CCCCTTAAAACATTATTAAATCAAGTACAATTAAAACAACTGCAGTTATAAGCAGTACTTTTTTATTTATTAATTTTTTATTCTCTCTCAGCCGCCAGGTCACTTTATGCATCAAAATGGAAATCAAAAGAAATACCACAACTCTACGAGTGGAATTTAAAAGTGATGGAGTACATGGAAATGGATAGATTAACTGGTTTTATCCATGGGTCAAATCACGATATATTTAAGAAAGATTGGGAGGTTATGATTAGACATTTTAAGCAAAGGGGTATTAAAATAGTAGTGTAATATGTCGATTAATGGATAATGGATTATTGGATAATTGTGCTTAGCCGACTGTCTCCACTGTATATAGTTTGAATTAGTTAAGAAACTTGTAGTATATTCGTTTAGAACGATATTTGATAGAGTAACTGAAGATACAAAGAAATTGAAAAGGATTCTATATTATAGTTTTTGTATCAAATTGATTGGTATAGACATAAATAAGCGACACTTTAGAAGTTATTAGAATCTGGCTAAAAGGCAAGTTACACTGATCATGGAAGTTTGTTTTTTAGTATTTGTTTAATTTATGTTTGGTTGATGTCGTTGTATTGTGCTTTTTCTTTCTTTCTTTACTGTGTTTTTTTTGTTGTTGGTTTTTCCCCCTTTATTTTTGTGGTAACATTATTGTTGAAATTATTTGTATGTATATTGTATATGTTTTAAGAATAAAATTTATTTAAATAATAATAATAAAAAAACACAACCCAATTTCAAAAGATCTCGGATAACACCAGTTTCTGTCCAGTTTCTGTGCGACGTTGTGTGAAAACGTGAGGCACAAATTCAGTTTTTGTTTGGGATTTGTGTGGATTAACCAGCAGATTTGCCCCGTGTGATAACGTCCATAGACTGGAGGTTTCTTCCTAGCTAGTTTGTAGGCCAGATAGATGGTTGAAACCATCTTTCATTGTTAAAGCATGCTTTGAATTAAAGTTTATTGAAAGCTCCTATTTGGTTAGTCACTTGATGCAGTCTACATTTAGATGGGAAAATCTATGATGCCATAAATTCACTCAGTTTTTGTGATTATATTGGGTCACATTGTTTGCAAATGAGGAGGCTAAGCATCTTGCACAAGCTTACATTTAATTCTCTTATTAATTATGGCTTCTTAAAAATAAAATAATAAATACAGAGGACCACTGGACTGCATTAACATAGCTTAATACTTTCACTCTGCAATTTTCTTTTTAGGACCAAGAGAACCCATTCAACCAGACCTTTGATTCAATGGCCCTCTGCCATTATTGTTTTGCTTTTTGTTTCCTCCAAACAGAAGTCCAAGGAAATGAGGGCTTGAAGTACAATTAAAACATTGCATGATTATGTCAAAAGCACTTAACGGCAGTGCAGAAATTATGTGCTCATCTTATGTTTTTGTCAAGAATGTGCTAAATGGTAGCAGCTATTTCCAACGGGAGAAAACCTTGATTACAGAATAATACACAGTGAGTAATTAACAGGAGGATGTCAATATCTGCTACTTCTACAGTTCTCCATGCAAGACAAGAGAAAACTATCCTAATGGGCATATTCAAAGTGGGGTTGCTTTCTCTTGCTGTTGTTGTTGTGTGCCTTCAAGTCCAAGGGTAGTAAAAGAACTGGCAAATGTAATCTCAGAGCCACTGGCAATAATCTTTGAGAACTACTGGAGGACAGGAGAAGTCCCAGCAGACTGGAGGAGGGCAAATGTTGTCCACATCTTCCAAAAGGGAAAAAATACGATCCCAACAATTATCGCCCAGTTAGTCTGACATCAATACCAGGAAAGATTCTAGAAGGGAATGCCACAATCACAAAAAGTCTGAGAAACAAGTCATGTCAGACTAATCTGATCTCTCTCTCTCTCTCTCTCTCGGATAAAATTACCAGCTTGGTAGATGAAGGGAATGCTGTAGAGATAGTATAACTTGATTTTAGTAAGGGCTTTGACAAGGTCCCCAGTGATATTTTTTGCAAACAAGCTAGAAAAATGTGGGCTGGACAATACAACTGTTAGGTCGATTAGTAACTGGTTAACTATCTGAACCCAAAGGGTGCTCAGCAATGGCTCCTCTTCATCCTGGAGAGAAGTGACCAGTGGGGTGCCACAGGGTTCTGTCCTGGGCCCAGTGCTATTCAACATCTTTATCAATAATTTGGATGAAGGAATAGGGGGCATGCTTATCAAATTTTAGATGGCACCAAATTAGGAGGAGTAGCTAATAGCCCACAGAAGAGGATCAAAATTCAAATTGAACTTAATAGATGAGAAAGCTGGGCCAAAACTAACAAAATGAATTTCAGCAGAGAGAAATATAAGATACTGCACTTAGGCAGAATAAATGAAATGCATAGATATTAGATGGAGGACACCTGGCTTAACAAGACTACATGTGAAAGGGATCTAGGAGTCCTAGAAGATCATAAGTTGAACATGAGTCAACAGTGTGATGCAGCAGGTAAAAGAGCCAATGCAATTCTAGCTGCATTAATAGAAGTATAGTGTCCAGATCAAGGGAAGTAATAGTGCCACTCTATTCTGCTTTGGTCAGGCCTCGCCTGGAATACTGTGTCCAGTTCTGGGCACCACAATTCAAAAAAGATGTGGAGAAACTGGAGTGTGTCCAGAGGAGTGTGACCAAACTGGTGGAAGGGTCTGGAAACCACCGAGCCCTATGAGGAGAGATGTAGGGAGCTAGGTATGTTTAGCCTGGAGAAGAGACGGTTAAGAGGTGATATGATAGTCCTGTTTAAGTATTTGAAGGGGTGTCATATTCAGGATGGAGCAAGCTTGTTTTCTGTGGCTCCAGAGAATAGGACCCGGAACAACGGATGCAAGGTACAGGAAAAGAGATTCCACCTCA